GTGCAGACTCGATGGCACCTAACAACAACAATGATGGTTATAGGATGGGGGGGATTATTCACGTTAACATGGGCAATATACAAGAGGGAGGTTAGCAGAAGAAAGATGTCGGTAGTAGGATACCGGGAGGGATGCGATATAGAGTGAGTGGAGGTAAATGCTGCTAGCTGTTGGTCCATGAAGGGAATTATAACCATGTGATATGGGGTGGCACTGTGGGCTAATGCATCAGACTGTAAAGTCGTTTGAGCTGCAAGGTCGGTGGTTCAAGCTCACCAGCTGCTCCTTGGAAACCCTAGACAGGGTCGCTATGGGTCAGAGTGACTCAATGGCACTTAACAACAACAGTGAAGCAAAGTATATTGTTTGTTTAATGTATAACTGATGATCTGTTCGATAAACCTTCATTCAATTCACAATAAAGCTTTAATTAAAAAAAAAAATCTTTTAGAGAAAAAATGTGGTACAAAATTCAAGATCATAAAAAAGACCCGATTTCCTGGTCCAGAATATGCCCTTAGTCCCCCTTCAGGCCTGGAAATGAACTCAGTTCAGCACACTGTAGAATGGTCAACCATCCAAGATCAGAAGGCCCAGGAAACCAGAAACACAGAGAGTTAGCTGGATGCCTGATGTTTCATTATTGGGATTACAGCAGTGAAAAGATACAAATGTATGAATTGTTGAATGGAAAACTGATGATCTGTTTGTAAACTTGCACCCAGTTCACAATAAAAAGCTTTTTTTAAAAAAGTCTTTTAAAGACAGGTCCATGAAAAGCTTCAACTAAAAGTCAGCTTTCCTGAGGGTAAACTTCCAGTTACCGGGCGATGACTGAATCCCCCTAGCTTTCTTTCCTGTAAATCCCAAATCCGGAGGCCCTTCTAACCGGAGGCCCTCTCGGATTCCAGCCTAGATATCTGGCAAAGACTTTTCCAGCCAAGAGGGAGAGGCAGCCCTGACTCAATGCTGGAGCCAGTGATTCACCCGGCGGTCAAACACGCAGGAGGAGGCGGGGCAGCAGTGTTCCTCTGGTGGAAGCCCCCAGGCCAACCCAGGCGCCCAGTGCCCAGCTCAGTGTCAGATTCCCTTGACAACCGGCAAACCTAGCGTTCCCCGACACAAGCCACAGAATTCCTGGGAGCACACGTGCCGCAGGCGAAAAATGGAATTCCTTCCAGGCGCCCAGACGTGTCCAGACTCCCGTTCCAGCAAACCCTGACCCTGCCCTACCCCCACCCCAAACCAAGCACTGCTAGAATCTTCTGGGCAGCGGGAGCCCAAGAGCACCTTTACGGGGATTTCAAACACCCCAACCTAAGAGCCTTCCTAACCAGCTACAGCAAGCTGCTTCTCGGTGACCTGATTACAAAGCGCCCCCCCCTCAGGTGCGCAGCCCGCAGGCCCGGCTGGAAGGACGTAGCCTGAGCCCCATACCCCCGCACCTCCCAGACCGCCCTGTACAACCCCAGTCTGAACCCCAGATCCCACCAAGTGCGACCCCTCACCCTCCAACCCTGCCCTGCAACCCCGGCCCTGTACTCTCCAAACCCAGACCCCATGCCCACGCCCTCCAACTCTAAACCCCAAGCCCGCACCCTCCAACCCTGATCCGTGCAACCCCGGCCCTGCCCCTCCAAATCAAAACTCGTACGACCCCCAACCCCGCACCCTCCAACCCTGTCCTGTGCAACTCAGGCCATGCACCCTCCAAACCCAGACTTGTGCGACCCCAACCTTACACCCTCGGGCTCTGCACCCCAATCTCACACCCTCCAATTCTGACCCATGCTACCCCGGCCCTGCCCGCTCCGACCCCACCCCATAAGACCCCGGCCCTTATCCAATCCCACAATCCCGACCCCGCACCCTTCACCCCGGGTCTGTGCCCCACAAACCCCACCCTCCAGCCCCGGCCCCCACCTCCCCGGCCTCCCCCGGCCCCGCCCCTCTTCCCCTCTCCAACAGGGGAGCCCCCCGCAAACCCTCTGAAGTCTCGGGAGGCCCCTCTCCTGCACCCCTCCCCCGGGACCCACGCCCGGGCCGGGGCTTCCCGGCCCGCGCACCTCCCCCCAACCCCCGCGCCCGAAACCGCGAGCGGAAGCGACCAGTCCTCCGCGGTCGCCACTTCCTTCCCGTTTCGGGACTGCGGGCACCTGGGACGGAAGCGTCGGTCGCGGCCCCCACTTCCCCTCCGAGCCGGCGGCCGCGCTCACCCCAAGATCGGTCGGCTCTGGCCCAGTTCGGCCCGTCTCCTCAGTCCCCGCCGCTCCCAGCCCCCGTTTCACTTCCGGTTCCGCGGCGGGGGGCGGGGCCATATCCGGCTCCGAGCGGCACGGCCCGCCCCTAACCCAAGGCCCCGCCCCCGAAGCTCTCTAGCGCCCAGGTGTCTGAGCTGCGGTGAGAAGCCCGGGCTTCCCAGCTCCCGCCGCCTCCCTTGTCCGTGTGGCAGGCGCAGGACCCCCGCGCATGGACGTGCTGAGCTCGGTCAGGGTACAAGCCTGAAAACCAGGCCTATGAATACAATATGTATACATCGAGCATCTATGGAGCGCCCACTATGGGATACCAAATAGCCCTCCAGGATCCAAAACAATGCCCAGGGTCAGACAGGGAAAATGACCCACAGGAGGGAACAATGCCATGTGCCTGGATCCCTGAGGACTCAAAGGAGAGGGCTGTGGTGGCCAGTCAGCAGGAGGGAATATGCCCATTATTGTCCCTCATCTAACCATCTTTGATCCATCTGTCCACGCATCTACCCATCTTCCATCTAGACATCCATCCATAGTTCCCCTCCATTCCACGGATCAACCCATCTATCCACACATCCGTCCACCCATCCATCCTTCATTCTGTCCAGCCCCCATCTCATCATCTGTTGGCTCCCTAATGCACTCATTTTCTGTCACCCACCCTCCATCCATCTAACCTTCCTCCATGTAGATAGCCATCCACTCATCCAGCTACCCCTTCACCCACTCCATTCGATCAATCCAGCCTCCATCCTGCTCACCCACCCATCTGTCCTCCATCTAGACATCCGTGCACACATCCATCCCCACTCCATTCCATCCATCCCCTCGGTCCACCATCTCATCATGTCTTCATCCATCCATCAGCCATCGATAATCTACCCGTTACCCATCCTCCATCCTCCATCTAACCATTCTCCATCTAGACATGCATGCAATCACTGATTGATCCATCTGTCTAGACAAGCCATTCCATCCACTCACCCATCATCCATCCATAACCTATCCATTGATGACTCATTAGCTATTGTCCACCCTGCACCCATTCATTAATCCATAGTCACTCATTCTTCCATCTACCCATCATACATCCATCCTTCTTCCAGTCACCTTTTTTCTCTTTTTAGCTATTCTTAAACTTTTTTTCATTTCTTCCTTCTATTTTCTAATTTTCTTTTCCGCAGCTCCATTTCCAGGTCCCTCTTTTGTATTTATAGTTACTATATTCTTTTTTCCTGATTGCTATATATGGAGTCCTGGTGTGGTACTGTGGGCTAATGCGTCAAACTGCAAAGTTGTTTGAACTGCAAAGTCAGTGTTTCAAGCTCACCAGCTGCTCCTTGGAAACCTTATACAAGGTAGCTGTGGGTTGGAATCGACTCAATGGCACTTAACAACGACCTATTTTTATTTCTTTTATCTCTTTATAATTTTCTCTTTGCGTTGTTCCTTATTTGTTTATTCTGAATTTTTTCTTTCTTTTTCTCATGTGGGTGTATGGGAGGGGTTTCTCTTTCTCACCTGACAGGTGATAGGGACCACACCCATACAGCCCAACTACCACCATGCCCTCTGCAGCTCCACCCACAGGGCAAGAGCCAGTATCAGCTGTTACACTGCCTCATACAGAATTCAGAGCAGCCAACACCAGTCAAACACACCCTAAATGGAGGTGCAAGACGGCTCACGAGAATGGTACACACGCTCCCATTCCCTAACTACACCTACAGGAGACAGTTGGTGAGAGCCTAAGAACACATCAACATATAATCATCGATTAAATACGAATGCAGCAACCCCACAAGGCCCAGGAAACAATCATTTCAGCTCAAAAAAAGAAACAAGAGAATGACCAAGAGGCTGAGTCAGAAAATGTTTCTGAGGAAGAAACGGGAATGAATGCTATTTAGCTTCCTTCAAAGGACTGACAGAAAGATTGAGAGAAGCAAGAAAAACACAGAAAACCTTTAGAAGAATTCAGGAGAACACTGCAAGAGCAGACAATATAAATGTACATTTTGAAATCATACAAAACCTGGGACTACAAATCTATAAGATTAATACCAAGATTTCAAAAATAAACTATGCAGGTCACTGATAAGGGGAAGTGAAGGAAAAACAGCAATGCAGCTGCGAGCTAAGTCCGACCACGTTACTATGAACCCGGGTGAAGACCTGGTCGGCCAGCAGTATGGCAAGACCTGGAGACTCCTGGGTCCAGAGTCAGTGACATAGCCTCAGAGGACTAGAGTGGAGAGTGAAGCATCCAGCTGATAAGAAGAGAGGGCATATGCACAAGAACACCCACACTTGCAGATAATACTCACTTGACCTGGCTTCAGTGACTGGATGATCAGAGCTCAACTAGAAGAAGAAAGAAGAGGGAAAAAAAGAATAATCTGATACAATTTGATGAACTTGACCTACACCTATGGAAGCAGTAGCTCAAAAGAGGGAACACATCTTTACAGCAAGGATCATTCCCACCCTCCACCCCCATACACAGAGTAGACAAGGATGGGCAACTTGGACATTGGCTACCCAAAATGGGGCCGGGAGCCTACAAAGGCAAGAAGTGACTGGGTTACAAACTTTCAAGAGGGAGCCTAGCTCCAGAGGGCGTGGAGGAAGGTAGAATCTCCACTGAGTAGTATCCAATCTGTCCAGGCGGGGCTCATGAAAGGAAATGCAGATAGGTCTCTTGTGATACATTAGTGAATAATTGCTATCAGGACTGACTGTGAGGGTTGGAAATGTAAAGGTAGACATTTTGTAGCAAATGGAGGGGAGTGGCTGACTTTGTAGTCCAGGAGCGTAGGGCCCTGGGCCCATCAAGGGAGAAGAGTGGAGAGCGGGACCCTACCCAGAGAAGCAGTGATGCCAGAGATGGAGTCAGAGCCGATGATGTGGAGAGATGGAGCGGCTGGGGACTCTAGACCCAGAGAGGGAGAGGGGCTGTGTGCTGATGACCAAGGGGCAGGCTTGCCTGGTATACACCTTTTGGTCGTTTGATGATGCATGGAGGGGATTGTAATCATGGCAATGAAATGATATACAATAGGATGAATGTAAAGCTAATATTCTGTCATGTAAACTATCACATAATTCACAATAAAAACTTTAATAAATAAATAAGCAATGCATTGAAAGGGCAGAGAAGTAGATTTGAAGCACTAGAAAGCTGAATTGGTGTCCTTGAAGAGAAATCTCTCAGTACTAGTATGCTAGAAGAACAATCAGAAAAAAGAAGGAAAAAGTCTGAAGAAAGCCTAAGAGTTATGTGGGACACCATGAAGAGGAACAAGTTATGGATGATCAGAATTCCAGAACAGGAAGAGACAAGAAAAAGCAGAGAAAATCGTCTAAGAGCTGTTGGAAGAACACCTCACTACCATCATGAAAGATGAGAAGATAAGCATACAAAAAGCTCAATTGACCCTAGACAGAACAGATCCCAAACAAAATCACCAAGACATAACATAATCAAACTTTCAAAACCAAAGATAAGGAAAGATCCAGAGAGCAGCTCAGGAAAAACGAAAAGTTACCTACAAAGGAGAACCAATAAGACTAAGCTCTGATTTCTTGGCAGAAACTATGCATGCAAGAAGGCATCAGGAAGACATATACAAAACTTTGAAAGGAAAAACCTGCCAACCAAGACAGCAAAGCTGTCTCTCAAATACAACAGTGAAATTAGGACACGTCCTGATAAACAAAAATTAAAGGAATTTGTAATAACCAGACCAACTTTTCAAAAAATGTTAAAAGATGTTCTATGGATTAAGAACCAACAACATCAGACAACAACCTGAGATTACCACACATGACAACACCACCCAGAAATCAATCCACTTATAGAAGTATTTGGAGTCCTGGTGTGGCGTTGTGGGTTAATGCGCTGGACTGCAAGATTGGCTTGAACCACAAGGTCAGCGGTTCAAGCTCACCAGCCACTCCTCAGAACCCTATACAGGGTCTCTATGTGTTGGAACTCACTTAACCACACTTAATAAAAAACAACAACAACATAGAAGTGTTTAAAGCATAACATCCCTACAAGACTGAAAACAGAGAACCAGAGATGTCAACTACAAAGCAAAAAGAGGGACCAGCTTAGATGTGGTGTTGTTGTTATGTGCCGTCGAGTCGGTTCCAACCCATAGCAACCCTGTATAGGGTTTCCGAGGGTGTAAATCTTTACAGGAGTAGAAAGCTTAGATCTAGAATTTCCAAATAGCAAGGAAGTCAAGTAAATTCAAGATAAAACAGACTGTTTTAAATAAAGAAAATTTTAAATAAATTACAGGATAACCTCAAAGAAAATTAATACAGATTTAGTACATCAAAATAAAAAAGAGGGAAATCAGAAAGACTTAGTAAACAGTAACACAACAGACATGAAAAGGAAACCCACAAGCCAAATGAACTGAGCACTGAAAATTATGTGGAACAAACTCAGCACCACACACACAAAACAGCACAGAAAATGATAGCAATCAATACAGATCTATCAATAATTGCACTAAATACAAATGGATTAAATGCACTGTCAAGAGACAGGGAGCCCACAATGGATATGAAACAGGATCCTTCAATATGCTGTCTACACAGACACATCAAAAAGATGGAGACAGTCTAACTATCCATCAACAGAAGAATGGTTAAACAAACTTTGGGGCATACACACAGTGGAATACTACAAAATGCTGAAGAATAATGATGAGTCTCTGAAACACCTGACAACATGGATGAACCTGGAGGACATTGTGCTGAGTGAAATTAGTCGATCACAAAAGGACAAATATTGTGTGAGCCCAACCTCTTACAATGTTAAAAGGTTTTCTTGAAAAAAGAACAATCTATGACAGGAACGGGGCAGGGAGGAGGGAAAACAGAGAGTAGACACACATTAACATGGGTGAAAGGGCAGGCACTATGCAACAAGAGGGAGGTTAGCATTTTCAGTATTCTCCTCCAACAGACTTGGATTAATGTATGTTTCGCTGTGTGTATTGCAAGAGCAACAATAACATGAAATAGACATTCAAAGAAAAAACCCCATGAAGGTACAGATCAGATGGTTAAAGATGGTCCAGTTCTTGAATGAAGATTCCGTAACTTCATTTGCCCATCCAAAGTCTTAACGTCTTCCTTACAAAATGATGACTCCCTACATCTGAATAGCTGTTCAGACAGGGGAAATGGGGCCGGGGCAGTGGATGGGGCCGTGCAAGGTTGCAGAGATGG